TTGCGGAAATAAAAAATCAGAAATCAATCACCCGTTTCAGTTCCTCGATTTCTTTTAGCAGAATAGATCGCTACATAGGCCTCTTTCTACGCTTCTCCACTCTGCCAGCTTTCCTTTTCTAATGCTGCCGTATATAAAAGTGCTCTGAAAGGTGGCTAGATTCCGGAAGGGTTCCCACAGGGAAGTGATGATTTGGGTTATGGGCTAATCCTGACCCTGTCTTCAAACACAGTCCTCGCACTCAACCAATTCGTGGGCGTCCTTCCTTGTTCAGTAGTCTCGTCCGCAGTCTCTAAGACTGTCCCACCTCCGAGGTTTCACAGTATGTAATGAAGGCGCTGCGGTCTTCATCAGCAGCTCTTCTGGCGCCCCCTAGTAGTCTCGCCCACAAAGTATCATGGCATGGAAATATCATGTTTTCTGTCACGAACTCAGTTTCTGCACTGTTTTTTTCGTTTCTTTTTCACTGTTTAGCACTGGATGAGCCGGAAGCGGCATATCGCTTTGCTGGCATAAAACGAGCAAGTCCGCAGAACTCTTACGGTGAGGTTGCCAACAAGCCCTTAGCGTGTTCTCCATTATTACTTTTTGCTTTTTTTTACCTGGAGGGTCATTTAGCGGCTGTAAGTTTGTAACTGAACTGTCTTGAAAGACAAACCTCGCGATTTCATATTGTGGATAGTAGCGTTCAGTTACAAACCTACCTAAACCCCATGGAAGAAGAAGGAAAAAAGATCGTGAAGGAGTCACTTAGTAAGGACCTCCTGAGCCTTACTGTAAGAGTTCTCCGGACCTGACTGTTTTATGCCAGCAAAGGTATCCGGCCGCCTCTAGCCCACTGACCATCTCTTCGCGTCATTCAATGCTGATATATGTATGCTAATATGTATGTAATAATAATATATGCTAATATACAATAATGTGAAAAGGAATGCGCACGCGGTGAAAAAACTGAAATCGCGAAAGAAAAAGCCTTGAGTTTTGGTGGGCAACTAGGGAGGCGTCAGAACTGCCACTCATAATGGCCGCAGCCCGTTCGTTACTTACTGTGAAGCGGCGGAAGTGGGACAATCACAGATGAGGCCAAACATCTTGCACAAGGGAGGGCGCCTTCGGTTTGCTTGAGCGTAGAAACTTCAAGCGAATAGTATTATGCTATGCTCCTTAAAGAAAGGTGAAAAATAGTATTCTGTTTTGATATTTGGAAATTTTGACTATTTCAGTTGTATTTTGCCTTCTCTATTTGCTGAATCGGTTCACTTGCTCTTCCACTGTTTTTGAAATTGCACTTCCCGAATTGGAAGTGATAGCCTTGAATTTGGGGAAAAGGCTTCCTTAAATTAGAAGGCTTCCTCAAAATTAGGAGTAGATAAGCAAATGGAACCAAACTCATTCGCATGAATGGACCTGAAAGCGAGTAGGCCTCGTTGAAAAGCTTTGTCTATTCACGTCTAAGCTATTCGATAAGACATGCTAGGAGCTTGAGCGTTTACTTGTTGTACGTCCACTGCGCCCAAATACTCACTCTTGCACATATCGAATAAAACGTCGAATGTTTTTTGCTGTACGCGTAAAACAGGCGTCTAAGGTCTGTGATGCCTCCTTTGAATTCGTTATAAGCATTACACGGTGTGCTTTTCCAGCATTCTGCTGATCGTATTTTAGAGCCGTTCCAAAATGGCCAACTTGACGGAAAGGATGTCTGGTGCGGAGTACCTAGCCTCCATTTATGGTACAGAAAAAGATAAGGTGAGTTATTTTTTTTTTTTCATGATGGTCAAGTTTTCGTTCAATATTTCAATTATGTTTTCTATTTGGTAGCTGTACGATTTGCTGGATATAAGCTGCATCTTGTATAAGCCGCAGCACGTACGTAGTTGGGATGGCTCGCCAGCATGCGATTTTGTCTGCTATGCGGAACCTAGGGCGGCTATGGTCGTCTGCGCTACGCATGGCCTAACCCGTCTCAGGGCACTTGTCAACCGGGAAGCCTCTCTTCTTTTTCCTTTTCTTTTTCTTCTTCCTCCCTTCTCTGATCCCTCCTCCTACCTTCTTCCTTAAACTACTGGACTGGTAGATGCCTCGAGAAAATAACCCTGGACCCTCGCAGCGAGAGCACGTCTGGTTGACAAGTGCCCGGTAACCATTCGGTCAATAGGGCGGCCTTCTTTGGCCTTGGTAGGAAGTCTTCTGAGCGGCATAGATTTTTTTGTGCTTGTTGAGTTTTCCGAACTTTCCGAAAAATTTTCCATGCGCGCTATACTTCTCCTGGCCGCAGAACGCCGTTGGGGTGAACTTTTGCGAAGTACGACCCCCTCCCCAAATATATCGCATTCCGGGATGCCCCATTCGCCATCCCCCATTATACTTACCATCTTCCTGAAATCCCCTGCACTCTCAACTTCCTACCACTTTTGCGGAGTTTTTTTTTGAATATTCTCACGTAAAACAGGAAAAACCGAAAAAAGTCAACAGCGGGAAGCCTTTGTCACAGAGGCAAAACTTCGCAAAGCCGAAACCAGTTCTCTGCAGTGACCTAGTACGACCCCCCCGCCGGAAGTCCAGTGTTCGACGTACCCTGTGCAGGCAAGATGAAAACTGCTGTTGTTGTAACCAGGAATTTTCGCGTGCATTTGCGTTGTCACGTAGGTCTTGCCGACCTGTTTCACCATTGGGGATTCAGTAAGTGATGAGGAAGGAGCTGGCTCCGCGCCAAAATCCACGCCGCGTTGACGCGAATCGACTGATTTCGATTAGAAGGACTGTTAAGGTCTCGTCTATACCTTAAACGCAGTTGGGACGATAATCTGGTACTTGGCCTAAAATGCTGCAGGCGCTATATATGGGAAAATGGCGAAAAACGAAGTGAAACGGTCAAAAACCTGCGAAGAAAAGCCTTCGTTCTTAATGACTCAAAAAGCAATTTTGGACGAGTTTCCCGTAGGCATCTTGCCAGTACCGCTACGGTAGGTACGGCTGCACGTATGTACTCATATATCCATGCAGCACCGCAGCCGCTTCATATCACCCCTTCGCTTCATATTTTACTTAGCAAATGAAGCAAAACGAGCATCAAATACGGTCGTCCATTTGTGGGCGGGCGAGTGCGGTGGGCGTGGTCGGTATGTTGTAGCTTGATAGGGCCTTATAAAGGTACCTTGTTTGGGAAAGCCTGCTCAGGGTTGCAGAATTCCGTCCTGCCAGGCATATTAATCCTACTTTTCTTGGGGATTTATCGTGCCAACTGTTTTGAAAATAGCTGATTCAGCCGTAGTCGCCTATCACTGAGATTATTGCATTTCAGGTGAATTGTTCATTCTTCTTCAAAATCGGTGCGTGTAGACACGGAGACAAATGTTCGCGAACGCATATCATTCCAACTTTTTCACAAACAGTTCTTCTGAAGAATTTGTATCACAATCCTGTTATTGATATGCGTCAAGCAGATGCATGTACAAAGGTATGGACTCTGAACCAGTAGTATATTTTTGAATTGAATTTTTGCGTATTTATGTCTGGAAAAGATCCAGGAACTCCTTACCTGATTATAGGTTGGCATGATGAACAAAGATGAACAGCAATATTTCGATGAGTTTTTTGAAGAAATTTTCACCGAAGTTAATGACAAATATGGAGAGATTGAAGAAATGGAGGTACCTGCTTTCAGCTGTTGGAGTTATTGACATTAGTGTGACAAGGCGCTGCGGTGCGGCACGGCTAAGGAGGGGCATTTAATATTTTTTTAATTTTTTTCCTAGTTCCTTCTGAATTATCTCACCTTGTTGAGGCCTGTAGACACTCGTTAATGATGAACGAAGATCCTGGCACTGCAAAGCGTTACAGGAATTAACGGGTCTCTGCAAGGGGGAGGGGGTCTCTGCAAGGTCTTAGGTCTCCGCATCGGCGGTGGGAAGTAGCAAAATGCCCTCACCCAGCCGAACTGCGCCAGATGCTGCATTTTGCAACAAAGCGCTCAAAATTACCACAAACTTTACCCAATTTATAAACGATCGAGGATTCTAAATCTAAAGGTGAGTGAGCAATAAACCTTACCATCTCCTCGTTCGCATCGTGTCTTCCCACCTTTGAGCCCTGAATTCCGTCCAGAGAACGAGGAAATGCATGGAAGCGAAGCTCAGAGCTTTAAGGAGCCTTTGTGCAAAATTGCGATTACCGTAATCGGGCGAATTACTGGGCTAATGCCGTTTGGACTCCAGCAATTTCGGCACCGAGCTCATTTTTAAATTGCCTAAGTCACCAAATCCGCTAAAAACTTGTATATAGGGGTAGTTTAAAGGCAGCGCCCGCGATGGACTTTGGCAGGTCTCAGGGGTCAAATTTGTTAGAACAGGTGGCCAAT